CAAGTCAAAAGAGCTCTGGAATGAAATACTCCTCACTCTTCCAGCTTTTAGCTGGTGTGCAGAATTAACTTTAAATACCCTGTTCTCCGCTCTCCCTCCCCCCTTGCTTTAATTCTGGCCACAGCAGGTGGCATTTTAGGAACTGTGTACCAATTCAGCTCTACAGTTATTCAACTCTGTGCACTCAGTTCAACTTTGTACTGCCAGGTTTTTCTTGATTGCAAAGCGAACCCGCACAAATGGATCTTAGGTGGCTGCCGGAAACCTTCATGTTTCATAAATGTCAGGTTCAACTCTGCTTCCTCTCAGCAGTGCTTAATCTGAAGTTGAAGAGGGACATAAAAATAAATGGAGAACAACGGATTGCAGCTCTGCAGAAATCCCTGTTTCAGACAGCTGAGCCTACCACATTCTGGGCTGTCAGAGGATTAGGAGATGGTAAAGTCTCCTTTTCTTGCTTCCCTGCTTTTGTGCACACACGATTTGTCAGCTGGCTCCAAAGTTTTGTGGAATCTTTAAAGAAATGTAGTCTCCCTGGATATCAAATTATTTTTCTGAACTGTAGGAAGTATTGATTTGCTTGTAAGAACTCAGGAGAAACTAGCCATGAGGCTGGGAAATGGAGCAGCTGAGATGTTACTTCATCCCTTTACTACAGAAATAACAAGTTAGTGTTACTAAGGCCATGTCGATACAAACAGGAAGATTGACGTTGCAGTGGTTGATCTTCTGGCATTTGATTTAGTGGGTCTAGTAAAGACCTGCTAAGTCAAACACGGAGGGCACTCCGTTTGACTGTGGTCCTCTTCACTGTTGCAAGGAGTAAAGGAAGTCGATGTGTTTCTCCTGTTGACTTCCTGCTGCCGGAACAGCACCAAAATTCAGCATAAAGTACAGCAACTCCAACTACATTATTTAAATCAAACTTTCCCCTGGAGTATAGGTCTGGCCTCACTCGCAATAAGACACATTCCTGCCAGTGCCGTCTTAGTTTACCTATTTGTTCTTACAATGAAAAGCAAAGGCCATCCGTAACTGTAGATAACCAGAACCACATTCAGAAGCACAGTGGAGGCTGAAGGCAAGCTAAAGAATAAAGTTCCAGATCAGTGAGTCTGAGGAAGGAAATTAATCAAACCCAGTTGATCTGCATATTGGTAGAAGCCCTTCACACAGAAACCACAAAATTTCTGGGACAAAAGCACAGCACTGCTCTGTTCTCCTAATACTTCAGAATCAGTTTTAGGTGGACCAGGGCAAACATTATTCTGTGCCATCATCCCCCATGATGGAAATGCAAGTAAGAGGCAGTACAGCTCAGAGTGATATAGCCTCTGTCTGGGTCCTGCAGATAAAAAGCCTGACTCCTGATGGAGACCCAACTCTCCTAGGGAGAGGACGGATCCACAGCAGAACGGCAAGGAGGTCGTCTATCTGGAAGGGTGTTGTCCTTTCCAGGAAATCCAGCTGACCTCCATATTCCACAGCCCTCCAGAGCGAGGCTGGTGCTTGAAAAACCCTGCTAAGGAAACCTTGCAGTTTCCTCCTCTGTCTTACCAGGCCTGGGTGGATCAGGGCATAGATTATTGTGGTTTTTCATCCTTCCAGCATGGGTCATGGCAGTCTACAAAAAGGATGGTCATGTCCAAAGCAACGAGATCTAAAGCAGGGCTACTCAACTTTGGAAGCCCGGGGAGCCACAATGATACTCACAGCACATGCCGAGGGCCGCAATTTAAGTGTGATTGCATAGACATGAAAATATATATGCAAATAGCTTCTTTCAGCATGAATACAAAGATTAAGGCAAGACTACACAATACACAGGCTCCATTTAAGTCAGTTCTGCTGATACTAATAAAATGCAATATTTACCCGATTTTCACCTATATGACAGCACTTTTAATGAGCAATGACAGTCCAGGAATTTAACTACTAAAATGCATATCAACAGACGACCATTATATTGACTACTTTTTTGTTTTGTCTCCCACCTGCGGGCCGTGCATCAAGCCCCGTGTAAACTCAAACTACACTACGGGCTGCAAACAAACAGGCTGCAGCCGCATGCGAACCACAGGCCACATGTTAAGTAGCCCTGATCTGAAGAATAATAGGCAGGGCCATTGTTGAAATTCTTAAGACACAATGAGAAGACAGAGTAAGAAAAGTGCTTTTAGTTACACGGGGCAGGTGAACCCTCTGATCCATGTGCACATAACAGAACTCGGCCCTCCTCTGGCTATAGGCCCAATTTCTCTCTACAGACTAAATGGCAAAAAAATACCCCCATGTCTGCTTGAGGAGGGAAAAAACAGGCAGCAAAATAAAAAGTCAGGAAGACATTTTAACCAGATTTTCTACTTTTTATTTCAGAAGAAAGTTTTGCATTATTTACTTATTTATGTACATGTACTTCACATTTGTATTTAAAATGCATTGATGTCCCATAATTCTCTTGTTCCTGTTTAAATTAGCTGTTATTTTACAATACAAAAAAATTATACCAAAAAACTGCAGTCCTAAATGCGTGTATGTATAACACCCACAATCCCCAGCAATGAAATAGTTTACAATACTTACTCAGTATTTACATATGAATGCAATAAATGCTAAATTATACATATTAACAAACTAAGCTTGAGTTGGAACACATAAGGATTGTAAATAACTAAACAAAAAAAATTAAGACAAAATTAGTTCAAGGATTTTAATGTAAAGAACATTTAGGGTACGTCTAGACTACAGGCTTTTGTCGACAGAAGTTATGTCGACAGATACTGTCGACAAAGAGCGTCTAGACTACATTCAGTTCTGTCACAAAGCAAGCTGCTTTGTCGACAAAACCCTGTAGTCTAGACACAACCTAGATGCAATAACACCTTCTGTCGACAGAACTCTGTCGACAAAAGGCGTTATGCCTCGTAAAATGAGGTTTACCAGCGTCGACAAAACTGCTGAGTTCTGTCGACGTTATGTCGACAGAACTCAGCGGTAGTGTAGATGCAGGTATAGTTTTGTCGACAAAAGTCCACTTTTGTCGACAAAACTCTGTAGTCTAGACACACCCTTAGTGTGCACAAATTTCTCAGTAACAGAAAACCTATTTTTATTTATTCATATTTTTTTTAAATGGACTGATGTATTTTATACTCCACAACAAATAGATTTGTGGGTATATTTTTTTTCCCTGGTGAGTATTTTGAACTGGGTGGATAAACCAGGGAGAAATGTCTTTAGGGACGTTAGAACCTGGAAGACACACAAAAGGTAGTTTATTGGTTTAGAAAGATACAGGAAAGTGGGTAACAATCAGCCTGATCCAGAAACAGAAAAAGCAATGTGTGTGTTATTGTAGGCATTACTGGTACGTGATAAACTTATTTCAAGCAACTAGAACGGAAAGCGTAAGTTATGACTAAAATTATCTACAGCATGTCAGAAAAGTAAAAGCACATCTTAACGCTCTTTTGCCTCCACCCCACCGCAGACGCGAGTGTGTACACATTCTGAAATGGAGGGGGAGATGCACCTTTGCATTTGAAACATGCACATTTCTTCACAGAACCGGATCTCTCAGCTTATTTTAGAAGTCCATTGTAAAACAAACCAGCATTACTAAAGAGATTACAATAGAAACTTAGATGGCTTAGTTTAAAAGTTACTCCTGACATGTACAGTCAGTTTCTGTTTTCAGTTCAGTGATGGAGCATGCATATGGACAGATATACTACCTAAAGAATTGTGGTAGGCCAAGACAAGAGAACAGATTAAAAGTTCCATGTGACACCCCAGTCTGAAGAGAAAAAAAAAAATCTAACATTCAGGTCATTTCAGGGCTGAGAATCAGCAGAATCTTTGAATTATTTGGCTTTACTGGTTTGTGCAAAAACCTTAATGTCTTATTTCAGTCCCTTGTGGTAGGGGTACACATTTCATTAAAGACTGATTTAAGCTAAATTGAGGACTGGCTAGATGAACAGCCATTTGAGGAAGAACATGCTATAAACCCAGTAAATATATATTTTGGTACGGTTTTGCACACAGAGAATGTCATACAAGAACAAAAGATATTAAGATGCACACTAACTTTAAGAAAGTATATATCTGGCACAATATGCATTTTATGGCCTGTCATTTTTGACTAGACAATATCGTCATATTTGGTACATGACATACCGAGAATTCACATGTTATTATGCCATCATGGACATCTGTACTTTGGCATTTTTGGTACAGTATGGTTTTAACCTGACTGCTCTAAAAGACATGGCAGTGGGTGCACCCAGAAATCTTCCTTTGTATACAAATTACTGACCAACATGACTGCCTCCTCTGTCTATAGCCTATCATATATGCTAAAAAAATCCAAATGAAACTCTGGAGAAAAAAAAGTAGGTTTGGGAACAAAAATCAGTTTCAATTAGCCTATTTTTGCATTCAGTGGCACCAACAGACTTTTCCCCCAACTTTTTCAATTAATAAAAATGTTCCTAGTGGACAGTGTACCAAATTTTACACAGGGTTATAAACACCTTGGAAAATTATTTTGAATGTAATTATTAGCACAAATTTATTTATTGATAGAGGCTTGAACAGCATATGACTGGACTTGATAATCTCACCGTAATGACTGTTTTAATCATAAAGATCACCTGTTTCTAAGTGGGTTTTTTTTAAATGGAAGAGCTGTATTGTATAAGCAAAGTTGCTTACACCTTTCAAATGAAATGCATTTAAATACATTAAAATGTCAGGTTATGCCTGCCTGCTTTATATTTCCAGATACCAGGAATTTAATCTGATGACTTTTTAAAGCTCTGGAAAGTTACCTAATCATCATATGAAGGAGTTAAGACAAAACTCATACATCTCCTAAAAAGCATACAAAATACATTAGATATTTCTGTTTTATATACACACTAACTCCTCCCACAGTCTGCACACTACTGTATAGTGTATGTACAAGTGCAAAATCAGTGTGTTATTTTTCATTTATGTACAGATTCTCTCCTGGAATACAGTTTTTTTTTTTTAAATGATTCCCTCGCCCTACTCCAATCATCCACTTTTGATGGTGGTACATTGATGAAACACCTGCAGTTTGTTTTAGTCTCTCTATTCCCTCCCTTCCCCTTCAATTTATTTTGAACTGGGATGAAACTACTTGAGTGATATGTACGAGAGTTCTCTTTTCTCTTGTCCGGATGGAGGTAAGACACAGAGGGGATCTAAAGCCTAAACAATCTTTTTGTTTCATTTATATTCAAGTCTTACTCCTCTACTTACAGGTTTTGACTCAATTAAACTTAATATTTATAAATGTTGTTGTCTTCCTTATTTTTAATATCTGACTCAACTCGTTCTTGCGACACTTCTGCTATAAGCAATTGAGACACGGTGATCTGAAAAGACAGTTCTCTGAAAAAGGTAGCAAAATGTGCATTTGTTTAAAGTAAAAATAATGTCACTTAATGGTCCCCATTTAGCAAAGCATTTATTTTCAGGGCAATGCATAAGCATAGGTGTAACTTTAGGCACATGCTTAAGTGCTGTCCTGAGTAAGTACAGACTTCAGCACAAGGTTAAGAGTTTTCCTGAATCGTAGACAGGCTGTTTTCCCAGTGTGATGGATAATGGAGCAAGGGTCTATGAATACTAGATCTGCATCTGAAATGACCATTTGTGAGGGAAGGAAATATGGGGGTGGGGAGGGGGAGGCAGGGATTTTAGATTGTGTTATTTCTCTGCTGTGGTCTAGCCTATGGCAGCCCTATAAAACAAAGGAAGTTGCAAGTTCTTTTGGGAGATGAATCTGTCTGAGGTAATCTGTGCACCAGCTAATATTCAAGCTGACTAAAAACCTTCACTCCACAACATCGTTGCTCGCCCCCCGTGGCAAGGACATTGAACTTGCTGGTTTAGAAATGGATTGACAAAACAGATGTGTTTTTAACAAGAATTTTTTCGGAAGTGTTGTATTTGTTAGGAGGTTCATTAGAGTCCTTTTTTGCAGAGTGTCACCCACCAAATTACAATCTTTCCCACCACCCCTGTTCTGACATGTGCAGTGGTTTGTTTTCCTAGTCCAATGTTACACCTCCAAGAAAGAATGCCAGGTTTTGCATAAAACAGGCAGCTCTGAGCTAATACAGATTGCCCAAAGACACAAAAGAAAAAAAAAAAGACGCAGTTACTTTAGTTTTATCATGGCTTGAGGGCATTAACATCAAACAACATTCAATATTTACTGTGCAGTTTACATCCCCCTCCCAATCTATCTGTTTTTTAATTACTAAATAGCACCCCAACTGAAAACTGAAATGACCCCACTGTTCTGAATGAAACTAAGTTTACTATTTAATAGCTATTCTTTGTTTGGTACCATAACACAACATCTACGGTCAGCATCAACATCACCACTACCCTGGGCTGTGGTAACAAAGTCTGTTACCTTTTGCTTTAAAAGCACTGTCGATACCGAGAATCTGCGCTGCCTCATGTCAGATTCTAACAATTACAAGGCAGGCCTAATTTTGAGTCTAAAAAACCTTGTCAGCATCATTTTGAGGTTCAACTGCAAAAAAAGAGTTAGTAAATATAATAAATCCCTTGTTGCATCGAACCCTCTTCTACAATTACTGAGGGTATCCTATCGCCAGTAAGTCTCCCTCACAGGCACAAGGCAGCTACTTCAGAGTGTACAATCATAGGCCAGTAACTCAAGACTGAACATTCAACCGCAAGGCCAAACAGAGCTACCATGTTTTTTTAAATTAAAATCCGCAGACCGAGCAGGCCCAGAGAAGTCGCTCCCCCACTTACGAGGAAGAGCACTGCTGAAAAGAAACGCTTCTGACCACGGACAGGGTGCAAACCTTTGTTTTTTCTGGACAAGAAGGTAAAAAAGCAGAAGAGGACTCAAAAGAGAACACCAAGTAAGAATTAGGTAGTAGACCACAGGTGCGCACGACTTCCATTTATGCCAGCTGGCATATCACATAAGATACAGGAATTCAATTCCACTTTTCCCTCAAGACACTGCCACTGGGTTAAGTAGTTCCTTGGGTGGGAAAATGCCCTTCTCTTCCCTGACTACAAATGATGCATTACAAGCAGCACAGATTGCCTTGGGTGACTATTTAATTTTTTACAGGAACATAGGAATACAATTATGTAAAAACCTGTGTGCACTAATTCCCTCGCTTCCTAGATGTGTTCCAGGCTAGGCACTCATGTGCATGCATTTCAACCGGGTTCAGATGACAGAAACACTCATTTGTTTGAAATCTACATTCAACCTTGCAAATATTAAGTTCAGCCTAAGCAATGTACAATATTTAATCTTTGCTTCGTTCTTTTCTATCTTGATGCTATATATTAAGCTGAACCATTAATGACAAAAAAAGCCCTACTACTGTATTTAGAAGAGAACACATGGGAATAAAGAGAAACATCTTTGAAATGATTATATCTGAAATGAAAACAATGACGTTCTGTAGTTTAGTATTGTTTCCATGTGTCGAGGGCTGAGACTTACCTGGAAATGCTGCATCTTTTATTTTTTGGCTCAGTTTGATAAATATATGTACTACAATGCACTTTCCAGGTACAAACCTGAGCGTCATTCGTGTTTATAGTATTGTTTTATTTACATTGACCTTCAGTGGGAGTGATTAGAGGTTACTGGAACTGAAATATCTATATTTTTAAAACCTGGGAGAAAAAAAGTTTAACAATCTGGTATCAATAAAACTGAAGTGGAGCAACTGTCAACAAGGCCAACTATCAAGTACATGAGGAAAAAAGGCTGGGTCCAAAGAAGTTGTGTTTTCCATATATTTTTAGTCTCTTTTGTGTCACAACTCTAAAATCCTCCTTCTCCTCGTCCTATGTGTTACTGGTGTTTAAAATCCTAGAGAGAGAGTTTATGATGTCCATGCATCAAATACAGGTTCCTGGCTGTGCCGGGGGCTGTTGTTTCCGATTTCGTATTGCTCCTGATTTCTCTTTGTAGGCAATTGGCATTTGCTGTGAAACGTCCACTAAAGCGCTGGCCACTGCAAGACCTGAAACAGTAAATCAAGGTGGTTACAGACATGAAGGTCTCTGAATTGCAGTTACATAAAAGTCTGCTCCAAAAAGTGCGTATTTATTTTTGGAAAGGGAGCATTCTGATTTGCAGATTAAACCTGACAGTACAGAGTAGCTTGTTTCTGAGTACCCTGTAGGTTTCCCATCAAAGCAACTGCATCCTATCACCCACCAAAAATCATCTTCTGAAAATAAAAACCATGCTTGCTTCATTTAAACTGTTTCTATTTGAAGCAAGTAATCATGCCCCAGAAGACGAGCAATTTCCTCAAAGCATTTGGAGATTATGCTTCACAAGCACCCCACAGCCATACCTTCCTGGTCTGAAAAACAGCCCCCCTCCTGAAATAACCACAGGTGAGAGAAAACCAAAGCCTTTCTCTGTACAGCCTTGAAGTTCAGGGTCTGGCCTCAATTTAATCCCAATCCTTAACTCCCCTCCTTTCGTGCACAGCTAGAGTTCAGAAGCAATTTGCATCTTCCGCTCCTCACTACACCACTGATTTTAGTCATTGCCAAAGACAAGGATTTTGCAGGAGCCAAAAGGTGTTCTAGAGCCTACTGGTATCCCAGCTCTCCATAAAGGAACCGTTAGCTGAGGAGCTGGGAAAAGCTTGGTGCTTTGGGAGACTGTCTAACCTGATTTCATCCCACAGGAGTGGGGAGGACAGCATCCTACAGTCCCACGCCTCCATCAGAGAGACAGGAGCAGGGAATGACCTTTGAAGGTCAGACAGGTGAGAACTTTTGTGGGGCTGGTGCTAATGAAGCCTTTTAAAAAGTAACTATTGAAAATTTCCGGCCACTTGTGACCCTCTGTACTTCTTCCAGTGACCGGTTTTCAGATGAACCATAGCCCTAACTTTTCCTGAAACACTCTACGGGGGAAACAAAGAGACACCACAGTATACAGATCTACATTTTCACTAGCTCTACATTTTCACGTGGCACAAGAGCAGTGACAAGAAAGGCATCCAATGTCAATTACCATAAGCCTAACATGTGCACAGTTAGTAGAAATTCTCTACCCTACAAACCGATTGTTTAGGGCTTCATTGTTTCACCCTAACTCCAACTGTGCAGTTCCTTTGTCTGCAGCTGCTCCCATCCATTTCCAAGGGATGACCCGAGCGGGAAGGTTCAACCCCACCGGAGCCACACAGAAGTCTCTAACCCTTAGTAAATCAGATCACCTACTCTGTAAAATAAATCCCCCCAGACCGGGAATTTTATGCATCCCAGAATAAATCTGTAAGACCCAGAGAACATGGCGATGGGCACAATATTAAGAGCTAGGCAGATTAGAAACATATCAAAGCATAAGGATATTTTTCACCTGACTGCCCCGGCGGCGGGATACCTCCCAATCCTCGAGGTAACCTCACGAATACCGAGAGGACGGCTGCTCTGTTTCCAAAACAGGGCTCCAATGCTATGGGCTTGGGGACAGTCTGTAGCAAAAGAAAGAAAGAAAAAAAGAATATTGTTTGTTGGTTTGCTCCCTGTTCCCTCCCTCTTTGTCTTATTAGATTGCTCAACTTAGCTCCAGGGCAGGAAGAGTGACGATCTCTGGATGACTGTGGCCCAGCACACTGTTGTCAGAACGGAAATCACTACCATGAACAAGCTTAGCCCTAGTAGCCATAACAAAATAAATTTGCTTAATGAAAACCTACAGGTGAAAAATCAAGCCCATGCCAACCTTACCTACATCTCCCAAATTCAATAACCAAGGAGCAGGTTGATCTAAACAACAGAATTAAGTTTCTCTTTTAGAACAGAGCAACAGTGTATCATGTAGGATTCATGATGATTTATGTTTAATGGTACAAGTTCCATTTGAAGAGGTTAAGTTCACAGGACGTCCTCAGACCAGCTCATGACCAAGTATCTAACATTGTGAAAGAAGGTAGGTGAGGTAGGGTCTTTTATTCGACCAACTTCGGTTGATGAGTGTGTCCACAGAGATCCTCTGCTTCAGTTCTGCATAAGCTCAAAAACTTCTCTCTTGCTCACCAACAGAAACTGGCTCAATAAAAGATATTACCTTTCACACCTGGCCTTTCTAACACCCTGGGACCAACATGGCTATATCACCATGCATGGAAGAGGAGTTAAGAAAAACCAACAATGCTTTTGTTCTTGCATTTACTCATCAGTTGTTTTTTCTCCCCCAATTTTAGTTACACTTCTGTCAACTCTCTCCTTGGCCATCTTTTGCTTCATGCCAGTAAGAACGCAGAGGCAGAATTTCAGCCTGTTATGCACTGTGGCTTCTAGTTTCCTGTTGCTTATGGACACATAGCACCTAGTGAATTCTTTCTTACTAATGAAATACTTATTGCTTATTTCATTAGGAATAAAATTATAATACTGTACTTTAAAGCTCAACAGAAACTCAATATAACCCAAGACTCTTGAAAGGGAACAAGAATAAAACAATGCAATTAAATTACTGGCGCCTAATAAAAAAGCATCTGACAGCCAACAAAATGAAACTTCAAACTATTTTTATATTTCATATTAACCATAATGATTACAAAGATTTATTAGTCTTTTTTGCAACGTAGATAAAATTAGTATTTACAACCTATACGATGCAATCTTTAAAAGTCTGCAGTCGTAAACAAACCAATCTTCCCCACCCAAAACAAATGAATCAAATGCAAAACAATTATTGCTCTAGAAAGTAACTGAGCATATATGCGTGCTCTATTATCCTATGGCAACCCGATTACTGGGGGGATGGAGAAAGCGCAGGGAAGGCTTTTAGGAAACTGAAGCAATACCCTGTACCGGCCTTCTAGCCTGCAGACTGGAGAGGAGACGCAAGACATTTAAAAGTTTTATCTGCAATCTCTGAAAAAAGTCCAAGAAAACATTTTATTTCTCCCACTGTTCAAAAAAGCTTCTAAATTTGTGGGGTGTAAGTTAGTGCTACAGCATTAGCATTCATCTTACTCCAACACTAAATAGCAACGCCCCAGGAGGATAACATGGCATGGAACAAAGCAGTGGGGTGAAAAATGTTGGAAGAAGATGCCAAACTCATTTGTTTTATGATCTAATTTTAATTTATTCTTTTCGCACCACCTTTGGATGATAAAATACCTTTGCTACTGCATTCCTTCCCCACACACAAATGCTAATGCCACCCTTTTCAAGTGGAAGCATTATAGATAACCTGCAGAGTTGTGTGAGCGATTCAGCCGATAGCCAACGTCCTTCTGTCAGCACTGAACCAAGGGCTCTGTAATAATTAGGAGGTGCTGTGCGGCGGGAGGCAATATCTTTGGGTGAGATACAGAATACACCCGTCACTCAAAGTTCAATGCCCCTTTCACAAGTGACATTAATCCTCCTTATGCGCCGGTTAATTTCTAAATTAAATGACTAAAATTCTGTCTCCCTAAACATCTACTTCAGGTTTAAAAGGTCTCAGAGGGGGAGCCATGTTAGTCTGTAACTTTAAAAACAATGAGTAGTCCAGTGGCACCTTAGAGAGACAAACAAAAATATATACAGTATCGTGAGCTTTTGCGGGCAAAACTCACGTCATCAGATGAACTAGAGAGGAATAACAGGAACCCAGAAATTTATAACAGAAAAAGAAGGGGAAAAAAGATGCCTGTCAGTTGTAGGACCTGTGCTAATGAGGCTAATTAAGTGGGCAGGAAGTGTCCCTCCCCCACCCCCACTCTTAGCTTTAGATGTCAAAATGAGGCATTAAATGCTGGGAAGACTGGTTTTATAATGCAACATCCAGTTAATGTCTTCATTCAAGCCTAGGGAGACAGTGTCAAATTTGCAGATTAACGTCAATTCCACACTCTCTCTATAATTAACTGGTGAAATTCCTTTGTAGAAGAATGGCTACTTGCATATCCATGACTGAGTGCCCAGGAAGGTTAAAAAGTTCTCCTATGGGTTTAAGCGTGTTACCATTCCTGATGTCTGATTTGTGTCCATTCATCCTTTGTTGTCGAGACTGTCCAGTTTCGCCAACATACATGGCAGAGGGCATTGCTAGAACTTGATGGCACAGATCACATTAGATGATGTGCAGTTTTACTTTTACTTCAGGTTTATTTATTTATAGCATTCTTCACTATCTGCACTAAACTGTTCACAAAAGCTGTGCACTGTTAAACACTGTCAACTTTTCACCACAGAGCTGATTGTATTTGAGGGGCTAATTGATTTGTGAATATACAACGTAGCCAAATGTATTGTTGTGGGATGTATTTGGAAGACAGGAGTACAATAAATGCATGATCACGTTGCTTTAGATAACTGCAGAATAAGCGTTGTGGATTGCCTATCACCGAACACTGCTCTGCTAAGACAGGCTGTCAGTAGTAATAATATAGCATATAAAAATGGCAAAAAGCCTTGTGAATTTATTTTTGACAGCACCAACTCAGTCACCTGCTTTTTGAATTGTCATTCACATTACGCCTCGTCTTCAGCTTGGGTTAGTGAGGACAAAACCCAAAAACTAACTTGGGGACATGACTCATGCCTCAAGCAACAGTGGCGGAGGCGAGTCTTCGATGACCGTGACATCAAATCGCAGACCAAGACGGACATCTACAATGCCATAGTCATCCCAATGTTGCCACATGGAGCTGAAGCCTGGACTCCCTATAGACGACATATTAAAGATCTGGAACAATTCCACCAAAGGGACCTGAGGAGAACATTAAGCATTACGTGGCAGGTCAGACGGAACAACGTTAGAGTTCTCGCAGAGGCTGATTCCTGCAGCATCGAGACAATAAATCGCCCACAGGCAACTACGATGGTCTGGTCACATGCTCAGGATGCCTGACACATGTTTGCCTAAGCAGATTTTTCTATGCTCAGCTGAGGACCGTGATGAGGTCTCATGGTAGGCAGAAAAAGCGCTACAGGGATGTCCTTACGAACACCTTGGTAAAGTGTGGCATTGACGCTGACACCTGGGAGAGGGAGGTGGAGGATTACCATCAAGAACAGAGCCTCACACATTGAGATCAAGCAACATCACCATGAAGAAGATCAGAGAGCCTGATGGAAGGAGCATGCCTGGACCCAGATTGGCGCTGCTGGTGTCGGTGCTGCTGGAGATAGAGACTTCACATGCAGCCGTTGCCAGAATTGGCCTAATTTCTCATTTATATACTCATCAGTTATAGGTGTCCAAGGGGAAATCGTACTCGCTTCGAGGGATCCCAGAAAGTGAGAGAGATCCATCACAAGGATACAAAAGATTTCACTGTGAGGACTTTGGTTCAGATGCATGTTCCTATCACTGCCATCTGATGACCCATCAGAAATGAATTGGTACTCTAATACTCTCAAACTTAGCAAGTACATCATTACTTGGAAAAACCTGAAATAATCAATTAAGATCAGATCAAATAACCAGGTAGAACAGAAAGAAATGTAACAGACTACCACAAAAAGCTCATGGTAATGAACTGACATATCTGATTAGCTGAGGAAAAAGACACCTCACAATCAGTGAGGTGAGGAAATACAAATAAGGAGAAAAGGAAACATTCCCTACTGAATATGTATCAAACATAACATCAGCGTAACATTTGATAAAAGTGGCATCTCAGTCTAGGGGCAGGAGGAAGAGGAGATGTAGTCCTTGGGAGGTGCTAGAATGATGGCCACTGGATGTACATTCCCTATCTTACGAAACTGGGGTGTTTGTGACTATGCTAAATGTATTATTAAACTACATTTGTAACTATACAAGCATTCCTATAGTGCAAGTGTTACAATTCTGCACATCATGGTTTCCAGTCATAGAATAATTAAATACCGGACTGATCCTGGGATCAAGGACTGATCAAACCCAACGGGGTAATTGGAAATGTACACGTATCTAAGATTAGGCAAAAATACAAAGGTACAAACAAGTGACGTGCTACAATGCCATAGTCATCCCAATGTTGCCACATGGAGCTGAAGCCTGGACTCCCTATAGACGACATATTAAAGATCTGGAACAATTCCACCAAAGGGACCTGAGGAGAACATTAAGCATTACGTGGCAGGTCAGACGGAACAACGTTAGAGTTCTCGCAGAGGCTGATTCCTGCAGCATCGAGACAATAAATCGCCCACAGGCAACTACGATGGTCTGGTCACATGCTCAGGATGCCTGACACATGTTTGCCTAAGCAGATTTTTCTATGCTCAGCTGAGGACCGTGATGAGGTCTCATGGTAGGCAGAAAAAGCGCTACAGGGATGTCCTTACGAACACCTTGGTAAAGTGTGGCATTGACGCTGACACCTGGGAGAGGGAGGTGGAGGATTACCATCAAGAACAGAGCCTCACACATTGAGATCAAGCAACATCACCATGAAGAAGATCAGAGAGCCTGATGGAAGGAGCATGCCTGGACCCAGATTGGCGCTGCTGGTGTCGGTGCTGCTGGAGATAGAGACTTCAC